CATAAATCGCGTTAGAGCAAATTCGCGTTATCAAAACACGCGTTATAGCAGAACTCACTGTATTCATCAATCACGTTACAGCCAATTCGCGTTGACAAAACACTCGTTATAGCAGAACTCATTGTATAGTAATACCTCTTAGCCGGAATTCTTCTTAAACGGAACACTACAACAGCCAGAACTGAAATTTGCTCGGAACTTTTCCAGAAAAATTCTCAATTCCGGGTTTGGTTACAAATTCCGCAATTGAAAACCAGGTGCATCTTCTAAAAATTCCAGGAAGAATTCTGAAAAATCTTAAAAAAGAATTATTTCTGGGTTTGGGAATAAATTTTCAGGGCATTCCAAAGATTGCATCAAGCTCCAACCCATCCCCACATGCCACGCGAGTGGGTGGCGTAGCTGTTTGGATCGCTTAGTTCATATTCTGCTGCCATTGTAGAAGGTTGTTCCCTCGCTAGCTGATGTTTTTATGTGTTATGCATTACTGTACCAGAACAAAATCAGCTAAGAATAGTGATATCTTCATTAGCCGGAACAATTGGTGCAGAGCACTTCTGGGAACGAGAGGTTTCCGAGTAATGAGACGACTCTCTCAAAGCCGGAAAAAATCCCTCATCCCTGGATTCCCGGTAACGGAAAAATATTCTCGGAAGTTCCAGAAATTGCCCATTACATCATCTCTCAAATCCGGAAAAATATTCCCCATCCCCGGAATTTTCTGGGTACTGGAAAAATGTTCTCGGAATTTCTGGAAAATGCGCCTGGTTTTCATCTCTCAAATCTGGAAAAAACTACTCTATCACTGGAATTTTCCGGAATTTTCCGGGTATCGGGAAAATTTTATCGTAATTTTCTGAGAAAATTTCAATTACGGCTATCGGAGAATTCCGGGTTCGAGGGATTCCAGCTAACGAAAATATTACTGTACAGTGAACACTCGAAGTTCCAGACCATGTACCGTATTTTGAGGCGTAGAAGATGCACCTTTTATTACAATAATATACCTTGAAAATTACCATGCGCCTTCCATGACGCTAGTTGATGGGTTGTAGCGGAGGTTTTCTTAGGGTCAACTGAAATCAGCTCCTTACAAAGACTGTTACCTAATTACTTAGCAATTACAAGTATTCTCTATACAATAAAACAATTGATTTAACCAATATTGTTGATATACTGCGAAAAATACGATTATTTACTTACTCAGTAGGCAAAAAATACAAAATAAATGGCTGCAGCTACACAACCCTTGCTGCTGTGTGGTTTGTTTACTAATGGCAGTGGTGCGGCAGTACCATCTATTGAGGAATTGCAAAAGATTGTCTGCTGGTCTCAAAGTGCAGGATTTTTTGTTTCTTCACAGTTGAGTGTTTAGAACTACCAGGCCTTCACTGGTGTCACAAGCCATTTTTATTAATGCAAATTATCTCCCTCATCTATGGCAGGTGTATCAAGGAGACATAAATATAATATCGCATTTAAACTTGAAGTAGTGCGATATGCCAAAGAACATGGAAACAGGGCAACAGAGAAAAACTTCGGACCACCACCTACTGAGAAGATGATTCGCCAGTGGAGGAAGCAGGAGTTAGAATTAAAAAAATGGAATAAACAGAAGCATAATTTTGATATAGTACCAGCAAAATGGCCATACTTGGAAGAAAACTTGAAAACATGGATATTAGAACAAAGAAACTTGGGTTTTGCAGTGACGACGAAGATGATCATTTTGGAAGCAAGAAGGTATGCAGCAAACACAGAAAGCGAAATGGCTTAAGTTTGCGAACAAGAACAAAGTTAGTAAGTACAGTAGTACCCCGATTTACGCGGGCAATTGAACCCACGGGGTACTGCGGAAAGTGAAAACCACGTACAGTGAACAACAGAACATATGGGATTAATTCCAACAGAGACTGGCCCGACCCCCAAACTCCAATTTTTCCGACACAATACCTATGTTGTAGTAAAAATTACATCTTAACTTTATGATGGTATGCTCACACAATTAATATTTAAGAGAAATACAGTCGCCAGATTAATGTCCATTCAAATAATGGACTCAAATCCCCCCCCCCCCTCTTCCCAGCTCACTAGCTCCTACCTCTCTGAGAAATGTTTGGGTGAAAACACTAGATTTTAACGTTTAGTAATAAATAATACCTCAGACTAAAGTTAGGATAATATAATTGACATTTCTGGATTCCTTGCAGGTCAGGGAATATTTTGAATGTAAACTTCATATATTTTGCACAAAAGATAAAATATTTGCTTTGTGTAAACCAAATTACAGGTTGTACCTCTCTAGTCCGGCAACCTCGGGACCTGACCGGTGCTGGACCATGGAAATTCACCCTTTTCCTGGATAGATGGTGACTTGTGCTTATGCTTGGAAGCACTAGCACCACTTTCTCTGCATCATGGTCTCTTTGAAGACATATTGAAGGGTTAAATGTCGTATAGTAGCTTCTCAAATTTCGCGAGTTTTTAATTCAACGTATTTTATTGGAACACACACAAAAAAAAATAAATAAAAATTTTGACGGCGGAAACTTGAATTTCGACGGGTTTGAACGGCCCGCCAACGTGCAGACGACGTGCATAATCGTGTAAACAGCGTCATTTCTCTTATGTACAAAAGATTCATTATTGTTTATTACTGAATGTCTTTTTTATTGAATTAATGTTTATGTGTGCAAAATGAGCAATACAATTCATTAATAATACGTAGAATATTAAAACACATGAGGAAATGACACAGCATTGTTTTCGTTGATTACAAAACCAGTGACTGACTGGTTCTACATATAAAACTGAAGAAAATAAGACCTTGGTTGTAGCTGTAGTAAAATTAATATGGTTGTTTTAAGTAATGTTATTTAATGTTAATAAATGGAACAATAGAAGTAGCTAACGATAATGGTAAAGAAAAAAGAGAGATCGCGTATGTAAGTGCGCATGCACGTGAAAACATATCGTCATTACTTTACATAAGAATATGAAAGCAACACTTATTTACTGTTCATATATATTTTAATTAATGTTTCTGAATTTGTTTTTATTGAATTAATGTTTGTGTGTGCAAAATTAACAATACAATTTATTAATAATACGTGGAATATTAAAACACACGATGAGACGAGACGGCTGCCGGCATTGTTTATGTTAAAGCTTACAAAACCAGTGACTGATTGGTTCTACATATAAAACTGAAGAAAATAAGACCCTGATTGTAGCTGTAGTAAAATTAATGTAAAAAAAATTAATATGGTTGTTTGAAGTACCTGTAATGTTATTTAATGTTAATAAATGGAACAATATAAGTAGCTAACCATTAATGGTAAAAAAAAAAAGTGAGACTGCGCGTATGTAAGTGCGCACATGTGAAAACATATCGTCATTACTCTACATAAGAATATGAAAGCAACACTTATTTACTGCTCATATATATTGAAGGGTTAAATGTTGTACTCTGTATAGACAAGCAGAGAGAGAGAGAGAGAGCAGCCGAACTGCCGGATGTAAACAAACCTTAATTTCCCGCGGCTTTTTTTTTTTTTAAGGGGATTAGCCCACCCGGGATAGGTCACTGACCCACATTGGGGCCTGAGGGGCAAAAATTAATACTCCTGTAATAATAATTCAGATAAGTAAAAAAAAAAAAAAAAAAAAAAAAAAAAAAAAAAAAAAAAAAAAAAAAAACTATCTACCTATTGGACAAACTAAAATCGTTCCGGACCACGGGAGTTTCTGGACCACAGAATGCCGGACTAGAGAGGTACAACTTGTATTACATTAGATCTAAAATTTGTATGTCTAATGCAAAATCCATGATGTTTATATTCAAAATGATCATCATATTGTAAGAATTCCTGCAATGTAAATTATATTCAGGCCGGGTAATTTGTATGAATTTTATGAGCTAAATAATAAAAAAAAAAATTATACTTCACCGCGTATATGAGTAGATGCACCGCGGAAAGTGAAAGTCCGGTTCTGGCAAGGTACCGCGTAAATGAGAAATCACGGAAAGTGAAACATTGTAAAGCGGGGTAATACTGTATAAAAAAAATTTTCCTTGAATTACATTTCCAAAATCAGGGTGCGTCTTCTACGCCGCAAAATACAGAAAATCCAGACTTCGGAAGATCCAGACAAAAAATTTGGGGGTTCTGGGCTAAGAAGCCTCCCTAAGAAACATTCCCAAAACAGAGCAAATAACATTTTAGGCCAGTGGGCGCTGGTTGACTAGTCAGTCGCGCTGGACACAGGTGCCCGAGGAGGTGGGAAACATAAACAGTTGTCAATTGTTGTTTGAGGGAATATTTCATTCACTCTATACAGGTTGAAAATCCCTTATCCGAAATCCTTGGGGCCAGAGGCATTTCGGATTTCGGTATTTTTCGGTTTTCAGAATGTGTTTTTTTTTTATGTGTATTAGCCCACCCGGCACAAGTCACTGACCCTCATTGGGGCCTGGGGAATATTATAATTATAATAATAATAATAATAATAATAATAATAATAATAATAATAATAATAATAATAATAATAATAATAATAATAATAATAATTACTCTTTAGTCTGTACTCACCCCTGAAGATGGAAATTACACAAAAGCGCTTGGGAATTTTGTGTTTTCTTGTTTCCTATGTGGTTATCAGCATATATAATCTCTTACTAATATTGGACACTACAGTACTCTACTCACTAAACCACTGTATTTATTTTGTATGATTGCCCAGCACACATTCCAACTAACAATATCCATATACAGTACAAGTAATATTCCACTTTCCTCAATATTGTACTTGTACATCCTAACTTTCCTTCTCCACCAAACCTCCTATATAATATGATTTATATAGTCTATATCATTGTCATTTCCTGCATTACATTAGGCAAGAGGTGTCATTTTATGATATCAACTACCAGTACCATATAAGTACAGCATACATATAATCCTTTAAGTTTATTGTCACTACAAGAAACAAATGATAGGCATTACCTTATAAGAAAACTGCTGAAGAAGAGACACAAGGGTGTTTCATGGAAGACACCTCCATTGTACACAGGGATTCCTTGGGAATGTAAGAATACGCCCTCCTCCACTGAAACATATCAACACTCATATTAATAATGAAAAAAAATATAAATGAAAACTTTCTTTCTACCATCTTACTAAATAAACTAGGGTAAAATAAATGATCAAATTTTCAAAAAAATTAAAAATAAATCTACTTACCTGTATACTCAGCTTAGGTCAAGTGAAGCAAAGATAATAAAGATATTATTTAAGACCGTATTTGATCGCTTCATAACTATTCTCTTTCCTATTTTCTTTGATTTCTCAATGATGACTCTGTGTCTTGACCCTCTTCTAATGTCAGCATATATAAGTACAGTTTACATAATCTTTCACTCAAACTGAAGTTTGAGTGAACCTGAGGCAAGTGGAATGATAGGGTGCCATAGGGTGAGGGTCACTCATCCGAGCCCTTCAGGAACACGACCTCCTGCCTGATATTGTTGTCACCCCTGCTGTTGGTTGGTCTCCTTCTCCCTGGCTGGATTATCAACCTGAAGTGATTGCCCTCGGTGTACCGCTCCCAAAATCCCACGTGAACCCTGTTATTCTCTGCAAATACCACCTCTCCAGGATCGCCCACTGGTCCCCAAGTAGGGTCGTCCTCTACACTGATGGTTCTGTTGACCCCGCTACAGGTCGGGCCGGGACTGGTGTCTACATCTCCCGTCCTGATGCCCCTGAGCCTATCAAACTGTCTCTCAGAGCTTCTGACGGGGCATCCTCCACTCAGGCTGAACTAATAGCCCTCCTTGCTGCCCTTCTCGCTGAGGAAGAAGCAAATGGCTTCTGCCCCTTGCTTGTCTGCTGCGATTCCAGGTCTGCTCTCGACGGGATAGCATTTGGGTCAGGGGAAAATATGGACCTCATCCTCCGAATACAAGGGTTAACATCCACACTTCAGGATGCAGGCCGTCCTGTGACATTCCTATGGATACCCAGTCATGTCGGTATCTTGGGGAATGAGGCAGCAGATGGCCTTGCCAAGACTGGCTGCAACAAGGCCACACCTGACCACGTTGTTCCTCGAACACTTTTACAGCTTAGGACCCAAATTTGCCGCAAACAGAGAGAAGCTCGGGAAGCAGCCATCCCCCTGGACTCCCCGCCCACCTGGTACAATGTCCTCCGTAAGCTTCCTGACTTCTCGTATGTCTATGGGAAAGGGTCGCGGAAAGGGGACGTGATTGCTGCCCGTATCATCATTGGGTATGACTTTGCTTGGGAGATTGGTATCCCCGCATCCCCTGAGCAACGCTCTTGCTCATTATGCAAAAGACCTGACAGCCGCATCCTTATCCACTACCTCCTAAGATGTCCCCACACACAACGCTTCTGTGACGCCTGCTGGACCACCACTCCACGACCCCCTGACGGAGACACGATGATCCTCCCCATACTGGCCAGATATTATGTAAATAACATTGATTATGTGTTAAAGGAATATTCTTCCTTCCTTAGGCTTTAGTAAGCCCCTTTATAATATTTATACTGTATATACTTGTGACACTTGCCAGATGCTTCTGGTGTTATTATACAGGGGTACCTAGTGACAGCACTATAATCCCGTTTCCTCTATCAAGGAATAAACAATTGAAATTGAAATTGAATTGCCATAGGGTCACTGTTTATCTGATTTATCAGCCTTCTCATTTTTAAGCAGTGAGCAGCTAATCTAGTGTTTACCTTTACTACTCAACTACAGTGATATCCCCTTTAGCCGGAAATATTGGTGCAGAACACTTCCGGGGATGAGTGATTTCCGGGTAACCAGACGACTTTCTCAAACCCGGAAAAATCCCCCATCCTCGGAAATATTTACGGTTACTGGAAAAACTTTCCGAGTGTCTAAACTATGCATCTTGCACAGACAAACGCTAGCCCACATCCTCATCATGTTTCTATGTGCTGGGGAGTTTTCCAAGAGTCTAAACTAAAAATCTATATGATATGGTCATGAAAGAAGCTGTGTGTTAGAGCCAAGACTGGTATTTTCCACTCCCTTGGAGCTGTGGAGGATTAGTGGATCTCATATAACTGACCTGACCTGACACAATGTCATGTGGAGGTAGGGTGGGGTATTGGTGGTCTCATATTACTGAACTGATACATGTCAGGTCACCCACTGTTGGGTGGGGGATTAGTAGGTCTCAGGACCTGAAGATGTCTTGAATAAACATGAAAGCTAAAATACAGTATTTTTTATACTTACAATTATCACATTGTATCCCTTCAACATTACATTACATAAGATTTTAAAATGTGGAGTGAACAAGCTGAAAGCTGTGGGTGATTAGGGAGATGGAGTAGAAAGGAATGATAACATGCACCAGTGTTGTCAAGCGCTAAGCTCCTCAACAGCTGATCTTTTAATTCACCACCACGTAGTTAACCATGCATAAATTTATGGCATACAATATGGGGTGTTTGGGTGTCTGGGTGTGATGTTGAGGTATTAATTAATAAATAAGCAATATTACATCGTCAATGACAGTCGTTTGAAGAATAGCAGCATACTACAATTGTCAACTACTATTCATCAAACTACTGTATTGTACTGTCATTAACAATACTGTACAATATTGTTTTTATTCATTAATTAATACCCCAACATCACATCATACATAAAATCTTTTGTGTGAGACACTGCAAGTTGGAGGGAAGCAGAGGAGAGGCAAGGTGTTGGCAGGGAAGCGGCAATACACACTCCTCCAACATTTATTATTATACTGTATATTCTAGTATGATCAGCCTTCTATGGTGCATGTTTTGTCATGGTTAATATAAAATATTAAACACATTAGAAAAAATATGATGTACAGTACAATTATTAATTTGACAGCAAAATTACATGACAAGTCAAATAATAAGGCTATTTTTTCACCCAGACCTCTCTACTGGGAGGAGAGTTGGTGGTGGGTAAGCTTAGCCATTGCCAAATTTACTATTTTTTATTTAATCATTACAGTACTGATACATTGTAAAAAGTGTTGTACTGTATTATACAGTATATGAAGGGTACAGGTATTAATAAGCACAGATTATTACAGTAAACTTATCTTTATTAGTAAATAAAAAACAAAGTAAAATTTTTTACAAAGGTAATGGCAGGCATGGGGAGATGACGAGGAACCCTTATGGGGGTGTGCAGTCAGTTTCCCCCTCCCTCCCTCCCTCCCTCCTCATACCTCCTCCCCTTCTTACTCCTTACTGAATTTTAAATAAATGAAATCATGATTTATAGGAGTAGAATATGAATTATACTGTACTGTACAGTACAGGCATCCCCCGGGTTACGGAAACTCTGGTTACGGAAATTCGCTCTTACGGATTTTGTAAATTATGACCAATAAATTTGGGATACGGACAAAAAATTCGCCCTTACAGAAATTGGGTACATTTTTTAAGTTAAAATTTTTTTTTCAATACTATTTGAAAAAAATTCACAGAAATTATACAATTTATTTTGTGTGGATTTCTTGGTGGTTGCTAAAATACTGTACAGGACGAGGCAAAAGCCAGTAGTGCCCATCCGTCTCCCTTCCAGTAACTCCAATTGCACCGCCTTACCTCACCATCTCAACTAATGCAGCACTCAACATCATTTGTGGTAAGTTAATTTCAAGTGTTTTGTATACAGGTGCTCCTCTACTTACGAACGAGTTACGTTCCCAAGGCTTGTTAGTAAGTCCAATTGTTTGTAAGTCCAACTTTACTCATGTAGATATCAAACATATTGTACAAAATGAAAAGATTATGTATATTTAGTACAGCTATACCCTTTCATACAGCCTTAAAAGCTGGCTCACTCTTCTCCTCTTAGGTAATGTTTGTTCTATCTGGAATTTTCTTCAAAATAATCCAGTCTCATCCACATTAAAAACCTGTTCTGACAGGTAACCCCCCTCAGTGATGATGTTTATATCTCTGAACGTTAGCAAGTTGAAAGTTCTTAAGTAGTGAAGCACCTGTAATTATATAATCATATTATATCATAAAATAATCAATGTATGTGTTAAAATATATTTTCATTCATTAATGTTCGTGTACTACGTCTTTTCTGCCGAAAATATTTCCTTGGGAATGCATCTCGAATTATATAATGGAAGTCAATGGGAAAATTGGTTTCGCATTAAGGAATTTCACGTTACAGACAAATTTTCAAGGACACATACCTTCTGTAACCTGGGGGGTGCCGGGATTAAGATACTGTACAAAACTAGATTTGGGTGTGTATAGTAATGTACTTACTTGAGGGTGTCTTGGTACAGTAATGTGTAGTACACAAACAATGGCCACTGCTATGTGAGGTAGTGTATGTACTGTGCTCATGCAATGTTAATTTCCAGTAAAAATATACAGTACACTTGTAATAGGCCCCTGTCTCATCAACAGAATGTATTATATAAATGGGTCAATACATCTGATATTATATTCAGATTCACCCCCTGTAACTTTCCACTGTCTATGAGTAAGACATGATATGGACACGTGAGCAGGCAACTCACCCAAGAGGGCGAGACCCATAGCTCAGCATTTCTGTAAGCACGCACTGCGATGCCCTTAAGCTTCAGTAGCTCACCTCAACTCATATCGTAAGGACGTGACCTAACGTTTATTATACATAAACGCCGTCCCCTTCTCATTCACTCCTAGACAGTGAGACTTACGGTTGATATACACTCAGGAATTATATCTACAACCTTTTATAATAAAACAAAGGAACTACCGTTTGGGTTTCGTTACTTAAAAACCAAATATAAATATGTGTGAACGGACTGGTTAATTGGACAAGCAGCCGATTCACACTGAAATCACTGTTGACGTCTTAACACAGCTTAAACACTGTGTTGTAGGTTGATTGTGTACTCTGTACAGCAATTGTACAGTACTACACAACAAACTACAAAAAACAGGAGCGAGCAACAGATGAACCTTGTAGGGGGATTGGTGACAAAGAATTATGCACTAAGCCTGCCCTGAGGCTAGCCTGGGGTGAGGGGGGGATCATCTACAAGATCCATC